ACATGCCTCTTAAGTCTTGTTAATTATGTGCCAGGCACTCCTAATACTCTTCTCCCTGGGCAATGATTAGACGGAGGAGGTGGTGACAGCAGCCCGGCATGGGGGCCTTTTGGTATAATCAAACCCTGCCCTGGCTGATGTCATACTAGAGCTCCCTGTAGACGCCACTCCTGGCCCATTGGAGGGGGTGGACCCCCACAGCCTGAATTCTGCACGGAGACTGGAGTGGGGAGTATCTGCAGGTGCAGGATGTGGACTTCCTGCTTGTGGGGTACCTAGGATTGGTGTCTGGGTGCCAGGTAGCGGGCCTAGGCACCCCTCACCATCAGTTTCTGGGCCCCACGAGACCGCTTCTCTTCTGTCTGTAGCTCAGTTGAAGGACGTGGTCAGAACCCTGGAAAAACTGAACAGAAACGGAAGATGGAAGTGGCTGCTCCATTACAGAGAGAACAAAAAGCTGAGAGAGGACGTCAGGTGAGGCCGCGGGGCGCGGAGCCTGTCAGGGAGGCCGGGAGGCTGGAACCGCCACCGAGGGTTTGAGGCCCAGACTTTGACAGCACTGGAGGCCAATGGAGGTCAGACTCGGGAGTCCTGAAGTTTGGGCTCTGCCGCCGTGAGCCGTGAACCTGGAGGGACTGGAAGCGTGGCCATGGGCTGCTGCGCTCCTGGGCCTGTGTCACAGGACGGAACAGGAAAGGAACGTTCCCTTGGTTTAGTCGTTCGGGAACCAGCAGACTGGAAGGAGGCAGCAGGGCGGGGCTTCTGGGCAGCGCTGCTTTCCAGGAGGAGCCCTGGGCCATGGGGCTTGTGCTGCGGTGGGGCTGCGGTGGGGCTGCTGCCGCTGGGCCCGGGGTGGATGCGTGTGGAGCCGTCGCAGGCTCCTCGGGGACCAACCGGCGGGTGGCCAGTGTCGTACAGCAGTTGCCCCCACACTCCAGGGATTGGGAGTGGCCGCATGGGCGCGACAGCAGACCTGACCCAGGTCAGACGAGGAGCTGTGGTGCCGGGTTTCAGGCCCAGAACGTTCGCCTTAACCGTACCGCTGTCCTCTGTGCCCCACCGCGCTGCTCCCTCCCAAGGACAGACGGAGGCGGGAGCAGGTCTGGGAGAGGCTGTACCCGGAAAGCACTAGTGCAGGAGGAAAAAGCGAGCCAAGAGGACTGAGCGGACCCCAGAGCAGATGCTGCACATCCGGGGGGGGGGGGGGGGGGGGCGGTGGAGGCGGTTAACCAGCCCTTCAGAGTAAGAGGGTCAAGCACAGGAACGCACAGCGCACCGGTCCACCTGGCAAGCACGGGTGGATTTCCCATGTTTGGACATTAGGTAAATCGGTCTGCCACTGCCGGCCCTCGGATATGCACTCCCACCACAGTGGCCATCATGGGCACTCGCCAGAAAATGTCCTGTTCTGTGGCCTCTGGAGGCCTTCATCTCAAACTAAAACCAAAAGAACCTTAGCTTTTAAAAACTTCTGTTTCAGCAAAGATGTTTATATTAACAGGTGGTTATCAGTAACCTCAAAACCAGCCTGTGACCCAGCTCTAAGCAAACATGACCAATATATGGATTCCATACATTCATAATTTTTAACACATTTGCAAAGTAAAGATTTTGCAAATATCTTACTTATAAAAAGCGGGGCTCATAAAACATGTGGTGTGATGCCAGTCACTTAATTGTACACAAAGGGTAGAGCCTGAAGGAAACGCAGCCCTGTGACATGGCCAGTGTCAGTACTGCTGGAGACGTGGGGACCTGGGGGACTTGTTGGCTTTCCTCCAGAAAGCAGATGGACAGACGTGTAGAAGTTAGAGGAGATTTTAAGGGAGGTCACAGGGCACTGGGGGCTCGTTGGGTTAAATGTCTGACAGGATCTCCGCGCAGGGCGTGAGGGAAGCCCCGGGTGAGGCTCCGCACAGAGCGTGGGGTCTGCTAAAGCTGCGGTGTCCCCCACTCTCTGCCCCTCCCACCTCCGCACACTCTTAAGAAAAAAATTTAAGGGAGTGAGAAATGACCGTTACCAAGCGGCAACTTCCTAATGAAGCTGCTAATCTGACTAAGCAGATCAGTGGTGGCCCTAGAACGGAGACGGGAAGCATCGTGGCACGACCCCTCCCGTAGCTGGGGGCCACTGGACCTGCACACGGAGATGCCCCCCTGGCTTGGAACGAGGCCTGCACGTCTCAAAAATGTGTGTTGACAAAGGGAGGAAGTAGGCCTGTGCCGCTTGAGGGAACCTGCGGGGCCACAGCGAGGTCCGGGAAGCCAGGTGCATCGTGGGAAACGAGAGAGGAGGGAAGCAGCGTCTTGGGAGTTTTGAGTGTTTTCACGTATTGTGAAGGCAAGAAGTCGAAGAATAAAAGCTAAAAATGAAGACACAGTAAAAAGTAAACTCACAAATTTATACTGAACCTGAGCTTGGCTAACATTTCTGCGTCCGTTACAGAGTGGATTCGGTCGCACATAAGAAGAACCTAATATTGAAGTCCTACCAGAGCGCAGAGCTCATCGAGCTGCTTCATTACCACCAGTGTGACTCTCGGGCAGCAACAAAAGCAGAACATTTAAAATGTCTGCTGAGCCTACAGATCCAGCACATCCAGGCCAGGTTTGCGGTCTTCCTAACAGGTAAACTCACAGCCTTCGTCCGGGCTTCTCTAGAAACGTCCAAGATCTGTGCGCGTGTCCACCCGGCAGCCAAGAACCAGCCTTTTGCTGTGTTGGGAGAAGTGCGCTGAAGGCCCAGGACACGGGCCACTGGGTTCAGTCTGGCGCGTGGCCCCCAACCCACGTGTGCCTATGCACCACACCCTAGTGCTCCAGGCGAGACCCGGGGACTCTGTCACCCCGGGAGGACGAGCCGCCCTTCAGCAGTGATGTTCCACCTCCCGACAGCCGCTCCTGACCCCACACCTTTCCTCCCTACGACAGTGCCGCCCCCCCCCCCCCGATGAAGCAGTTCCCTACAAGTTAGTGGGTGTTTTGTTTTTAAAAAAGGAGTTCTGATGCTTATAAAGTATATATATACATCAATGAATTTTTCACCAAAAAGTATTTTTTTCTTTTTACAGAAAAGCCCACTGTCTCCAGAGAAGTCTTTGAAAATAGTGGCATCCTTGTTACAGATGTAAATAATTTCCTTGAAAATATACAAAATATAGCAGCTCCATTTAAGAGTAGCTATTGGTAAGAACACTTTCCAGAAGTCTTCTGTGTGAACGGGACGTGACACATACTGACATTTGCGTCTGTGAGGAAACCGGTTGTTGGCAAACTCTGTTCTTTACCTTCTACATCATGCTATAAATTTTAAATCTGTATTAGGGGTGGAATTGCTGTTGGGTCAGCCTACTTGAGGAAACCCACTTCATCTGAACGGCACACGTCGTCACTGGCAGTTCACCTTGTTCCCAGGACACAGGAGACAGTGACCATGAGGTGCCTGGAAGTTGTCCCTGCTGGACCGCGTCCTGCTGCTGAAATACCAGTGTCCTGTTAATCAGGGATGAGTGGCAGCTGGCCTAGACCGCGATGCCACCGCCAACCAATTCCTGGTTTCCTTTTACTTTGAAAATTTTTTAGATAAACAGAGTCGTTTTCTCATATTTGAAAAATCAATGTTCTACAACTTGGAAGTTTTCATTTTTACACTTTGCTATGAAAATCTTGGCCGTTATTCAAGTGGAAAATGAGCTGTCCACTAGCTTTGTTGCAGTGTTCGATATTATTGTTTTAAATTTCATTTTATACAGAGAGCCTTCAAAACAATTATAAGCTCCATGCTAAAAACAATTTTACAAACGTTTACTTAGTCGTAGCAAAAATAAGTGTTTTGACCGATGGCTCGGTTTTTGCATGTCCACGTCCAAAAAGCGTACGTAGTGCATGGTAGTCCGTCTTAAAGGCTTGACTGCCCTTGTGAAAGCTAGGCTCTTAACTGGGGGATCTGCTGTTATTCTAGCAACACTACAGTCACGTTGCTGATTTATAAACTGTTTTCAAGAGCTCAGTTTTTGTAAATACTGCACTACAAAATCAATTCTGAGGAAGAAAATCACTTATTTATGGTATTAGAAATAATTTCTACAGTAATCTTTAAACTCAAAACCAAGCAAAAGATGTTTGTAGACACATAGTATCTATTTGGAACAGAGGTTTTTGTAACTAATTTGTTTCATTTTTTTAAATAAAGACCCCTGAAGATCAACTTTCTGGGATTCCTTTAGAGCAAAACTTGAGTTTGTGGGGACAGTGGTGGCAGTTTTCAGACCACTGGACAGAAGTGGCTCTGCTCCCCCCAGAGCAGGGCGCCGAGCCCCGGGAGGACGGGCTTCCCAGGCCTTTCACCTGCGCTCTGGACAGTCCGCTCCGAGGCCTGGCCGCCCGATCTGACCAGTAGCCGTAGGTGGCACAACCAGCGCAACAGCACCTGCCGCCACTCCGCTCTCAGAGGTCAAGCCCCCCCCTTGAAGAGGCCCCCCCCCCCCCCGCATCCATCCCACCCTTTCTAGAACTGTTTGTTTTTACACCTGACCGCGGAGTAGCCTTCTCTGCACGGTCCGCCGTCCTCGTTCCCTGCAGGCCTGGCTGAGGGTTGCAGTCGTGCCGCACGCGTGCTACCCGAAGACTGGGAAGACCCTAGGGATTTCCAGCCCAGCATGCGCCCTTGCCTTCACCCGCAGGCCTGGTGGACAACTTGAATTAGGGGAAGGAAGGGCTTGCTGGGGTTTTAGATCCTCCTACCACATGGAAAAGCAGGGGTTTCTCAACTGGGGTCAGTCTGTGCCCCAGGAGACGTGTCAGGAATTTGGGGTCTACTAATTTGGGGTCTACTCTGAAGCCAGGCCACCGGCATGCTGCTAGGCATCCGGATGTGAATTCCCCCGGGGCCATCGGGGCGGAGTCGGCGTGTGTGTGTGTGTGTGGGGGGGGCCGCACAGCAGCCAGCACGATGCAAGCCAACTCTTACACCAGGACAAAGAGACCAATGGAGCAGGAACTGGTTTCCAGAGTTTGGCTTTATTTTGCAGTACAGAAATCATGTGGAGCCGTTCGAGACAGACACTGAAGTGGAGGCCCTGTCAAATCAATACTGCATCGCAGCTTGGTCCGTTGAAGCCACACCTGGGATACAAAAGAAGCTTCTACGTTTACCTGCTTACAAGGGGGTTTCTTTCCCCTTCGCGCTCATCCATTTTATAAGGTTAAAACACCGCACACAGGCTTCCTCCGAAAGGACTCACAGGGTCTGCAGTTGGGTTAGATTTTAGGCTCATGTCTCCCCACTCGTGGCCGTGTGCCACGGGCACTGTCTGAGTAGCGGACAGGACACAGCACGGGAAGGTGGGGGGCGGATGTAGGGCTGCTGTCCCATAGGGGAGATTCAGTCTTGAATCTCAACGCCAGGGGGACAGATGGCACGTAAGTGGTACTGCTCCGGCTCCGGAGCAGCAGAAGCACACGGCCGCGGCGGCTACACTGATTAAAAGATACAAAGTCTGTATCGAGTGCTCCGTACCAGGATCACGGATGTCCTCAGACTGCTCCTCCACTAGGGAGAGCCAGGGCTGGCTAAGGTGAGCAGACGCGGTGACCTGCCGGTGCGGAGCAGCCCCGCCGTGAGACACGTTCCTACATGATATTAGAAAGGGAAGGAGTATTTACTGGTACAGCGCCCTGCAATCGCGGTGCGGATTACAGCAGCAGGCCTACGCTATCGGGGGCGAACAGTATGCGTCATTTGCCAGAGTTAGGTCTGTCCTAGCGAGATGAGTACGTGCACTGCTCCTAGTCTTCCCCGTAGATGTCGTTCTTCTTGCGCTTCATTTCCTCAAAGTCAAACTCGGAGCCGGTCATCCTCTTGTAGATGTTTTTAATATCGTCACAGGTAGTCTCAAAGTGAGTTGTAGCATCGTACGTGCGGGAAATAAAGATCTGCGAACGAAATCACGGAGACGTGAGGCAGGCATCTCCCCGCGCCGCCCGTGCCCGATGCCCTTCTCAGACCGCCACTCACCTGGCTTTCCGTCCCCAGGTCTTTGGGTACAAGGAGGTCGCTGATGCTAATGAATCTGGAGGGGGAAAGAATAAAGTCAGCAGGTGAGCTGCCCCCGGCCGCCCCTCGTCCTCACAGCAATCCCCTCGCTGCGAGGTCAGAACTCAATCTTGGATCTGAGCTCATCGAAAGGGACCCATCACTCACTTCTGTTCAATTGGTTCCAGAAGCTCCAAAGCTGGTCTGATTTCCTTCTCGGGTTCCTTGGTTTCCACCGTCGTGCTCACTATGGCGATGTACTTCCCTTGCGCGGCCACATTGTGTGCAGAGGAGATCATGCACACGTAGATGTCTGCAAATGAGTAACGCCGTCTCACTGCCAGGGTTCACAGGCCTCAGCCGTGTGTGCGCACTCCGCTCTCCCCATATTTCATCAGGTGGAATTAAAATTGCTTGGACCAGACAAAACCTTCTAGGCTGAGGTGGCAACTGGAGGCCGACGGCGCCCTCTCCGTTCTGGATAGGACCGCATGTGCAAGTACCGAGCCACTCACAGCCTCCTGGGGCCGTGGGTTTCCGTGGCCAGAACTGCCAGGCTTGCACAGCTTGCTTTCTCCGGCTCTGTGGCCGCTAACCGGACACCTGACAACCCCACTGACCGCGCTACCATCTCCTTCCTCTCAGAGCCCTGCATTTAGAAAGGGGCTGAACAGCTAAGGGATGGTTTATTAAGGACTAGCTTCTCGTTTACTTAATTGAAGTAACAAAACGACTAATCAGCACAAGCTACTCTTCGTTTTGCATCCCGTCGTCTACTGCCCCCTCTGCGTGCCGCTTAGTAAGTGCGTCATTTCCAATATGAAAGTCACTACTGAGCTGCTTTCCTCTCGAGTTCCCCAACCCTGGGGTCTGTGTGGGCCCCCTGCACGTCCCTTGGGTGCAATCCTAATAACCCATGATTCTGGTTTCTTATATGGAAAAAACATACCAGTAGTTCTGTTTAAATGCTGATAACCCTTCCTAAAGTTCAACTTTCGATAAACAGATTTAGGGCTTCCACCTCTAAGGATGGTGGGAAAAAGTAGGGGATGAAAACAACTGCTCACCACAAGATTAGGAATTCCTACTTTAGAAGTCTGTCCTGATGCAGTCGTCTTCTAGCACACTGCTGAAATCCAGCCTAAGCTGGCTCAAGACCACAGTAGAGCTGGGCTGCCTAATGCCTAATAAACCATGACCTGCCTCCCCACCCCCACGCCCGGAGGGGCCAGGAGGCCCCATGACCACCCAGTCCAGCCAGCTCAATTCCTCATTCTAGAATGAGGGAGAGGAGGCCCAAAGGGGGGGCCAGCAGGAGGGCGAGGCAGGGCTCCAGGGCAGAGTTGTGCCTTTCAATGCAAGGACCTCGCATCCCTGTGAGCTAAAGCCATCGGCTCTCGTTTTCCCCGTACACGACCTAAAGTTTCTTATAAGAGAGCATATAAGGATTCTAACAACGTGGCCCAGACATCTGCTGGTCTTCACACCTCACCTGACTTCCGATTGACCTGGTTCTGGGGGATGATGATCTGGCAGGAGTTGGCGTCATTGGTGTTCTTGATGGGGTGGCTGAGAATGCAGATAACCCTGATGACCTGGCCCACCTTCTCTACCCGGTCTTTGACGTAGCTGGGGTCACAGATGAGCTGCTTGCAGCGAGCAACCTGTAGCAAACAGTTGAGCTCCCATTTATAGCAGTCCGGGTCCCCAAGGCTTCCAGCTAGACTACTGACGCCACTGGGCCGTCAACACGTTCCCTTCATAAGGGTACCTGTCAATTACTGCTCAACTACAGATCACCTAAAACTAGTTTTGCCAACAATCCCCCTCCCCCCCATTCTCCTGGAACAGACCCGTGCATTCGAAGTCCTGTTCAACTACTAGGAAACCAGGTGCACAGTGTTTAGAAGCACAGGATTCAGAGTCGGGCAGACAGGTTTCCGATCCTGGCCAAGCTTAACCTCCAACAGCTGTTGCTGGATTAAATGAAGTACCGTATTTAAGGGCTGTCGCTATATGGGATGTGCCTGGGGAGACGTGAATGTTTATCTCCCACGAGGGAACCACCGTGGGGAAAACAACAGGAGATGACCCCCCACTAAGCAGCGCTCTGAGATCCCAGATGAATTGCTCCCCGTTTGTCCCTGGTTCCCTAAACCCGTTCTGATGGACGCACAAGGCAGTTAACAAAGGCTCCATGGTATTGACTCATTCCGACGGCCCACCGCTGAGTGAGGATTACATGGGCCAACCCACGTAGTACCGCAGGAACGCCAACTAGCTCTCCGGTCTTAGCTTCTGAGCAGTGCCAGCTATCAGTACGAGTTGAAACACGAATGAGCTGGTCGGCGGACCCTCAGCATCAGCCTCACCTGAGAGCTCGCAAGGACACAGACCCACCGAATCCGAATTAGCACGTGAACAAGGTTAACATATACGTACTCAACCCGAATCAGAGAAACTACTTGAAACTCCACCCAGCCAGCACTGAAGCTAAAACCCAAATTAAATAATAAAATGCCCAGTATTCACCAGGCCCAATTCCACTGATAAATTATAGATTATGTCAATTATAAATTATAAAGCTACATTTAAATGAAAATTCAGGAGACAGGCACCAACCTACACTCCATAAATAGAGCACCTACCACTAAGGTTTCGTCCATAACGTATAACCCAGTCTTCAGCAATAACCAACAGTAAGATTTTTATAAAATAAATCACAGTGGGCAGCCCTGGTGGCTCAGGGGTTTAGTACCACCTTTAGCCCAGGGCGTGGTCCTGGAGACCCGGGATCAAGTTCCACGTCAGGCTCCCTGCATGGAGCCTGCTTCTCCCTCTGCCTGTGTCTCTGCCTCTCTCTCTGTGTCTTTCATGAATAAATAAATAAAATCTTAAAAAAAAAAACAAACCACACACACAGCATCTCAAGCTAGTCCTTACTCATTATGAACACCAAAGTGGCATAAACCACAGTCTGAAATCCAGCATCGATGCCCAAATCCCATTCCACCAGGCAACATTTTCTTCACTAGAACACAGTATTATTTACATTGTGAAAGCTCCTTACCTCTCCTTCAGATTTCACACCAATCACTTTGCCATTTTGCACAATGATTTCTTCAATGGGTTTATTGAGCATGTAGGTGCCACCATAAATAGCACTTAGCCTAAAAAAAGGTGAGATGACAGTAACTTATAATTGTCCCAACTACTAAAAAAGTCTTAGATCTTAATGAGTCACAGGCAATGTGTATTTCCTCAATTTCCTTCTAGAAGGCAGTAGTTTCAAAGTCATTGAGCAGCAAGTACAAAACCATGAAATGAAGTGTCCCATTCACAGTTCTGAATACCAAGTCCAAAAAGAGCAGCAACCAGTAGTGAGTGAAGAACTTATGTTGGTCTAATCCTCCTGCATATAAATAAAACCGAACTATAAAAATAAACAAATAATAAACTAAAAGCAGACACTGGAGAAGAGACTTGGAGCTGCGTGTGGGGCTCCTGTGGCAGCTCAGCTGAAGGACCCTCTCCCTGCTCCTTGTCACAGGAGCTGCTGAACAAGCAGAAAGCCTCTGGTCTTGTCAACTCGGGGCCAAAGGATGGAATCCAGGGCTCAAAGGAGATGAACTTGTGGGAGGAAAGGATACAAAAAGGGGAGCCACCAAATCTGTAAAAGCTCTTCAAATCCTTCACTCCAGAAGTGCTCGTACCTGTGACATTCCAAGGGATCCAGCGAAAGCAACACCCAAAAGGTGCAAGGAGCTGAGCAAAGGGTATGGCCGGGGCCTCGAGGACGAGGGGGTCGAAGTCTGACACTACCACAGCAGATGGCCTGGGACCCGCCGTAAGCAATCCACCAAAACCCCGGGAGCATCACAGCCCAGTGTTCTAGGACGAAGGATTGAGCCAAAACAAACCCTGCCGTCCCATCCAATAAAGGGCAGAGTCAATCCTGTGGCCAAGGACTGAACCGCCAACTCACACAAGTCACTCCTCAGAGGAAGGAAGGACCCAGCATCTCGACAGCGCACCAGTATTTACCAGGCACGGGAAGAAACAAAAAAACGTGATCCAAAGTAAAGCCTCAGGAAAAGCAAATCAGTACAAACAGGTGCCCAGATCACCGGTGTCACCGTGTGCAGGGGGCTGGAGGCAGCTATTACTTCACTCACACAAAGGTTCAAGAACATGTTACTGCAAATATATTCAGGAGGGTCAAAATGAGTAACAGAATCTCACAAAAAACTATATTTAAAAAACTGGAAATTCACCAGAAAAAAGTTAAAACTCACTGAATGGGATTAATAACCTTTTGAAAATAACAAAAAGGAGTTCGTGAACTTGAAGACAAATCAACAGGCATTATCCAATACGAAGCACGGAGAGACCAAAATAATGAAAAGCACCTCAGTGACTATGGAATAATACCCAGCATCCAACACACACAGACCTGCTGTCCAGAGGGAGAGGATGGAGGAAATGGGAGGAAATATCTGAAGAAAATGAGGATTTTTAAATTCCCAGTTTGATATAAACAATTAACTTCTACAACCAAGCAGTTCAACAAAACCATCCAGGCAAAACCATCTGAGGCAAATCCAAGTAAGACTGTAAAACACCAAAAAGAATCCTGAAAGCAGCCAGAGGGGGGTAAAAAATGCTGGTTCCATACAGAGGACCGGTTACCGACCCCAGTGACGGCTCACTGTCATCAGAAACAGCAGCTGCAAAGTGCTGAATGAAAACATCTCAAGCCAACAAAAGTCCTTCAAAAATCAAGGTACAGACCTCGTAAGAGCAGACCTAGAACTACAAGAACGCTGAAGAAGAGATAAAGAGAAGCGTCTCCAGAGAAATGGATGTATAAGAAAGAAGAGCAACTAACATGGTAGCCGGGAGGCAGGGTTACGGCTACTCTTTCTCCTCCCTCCTCTCTTCAAACTGATTGCTCAGTGCAAAAATTATAATGCTGCGTGGTGGAGATGATTAAAGCAGACATGGAGGGGCACCGGGGTGGCTCCATCAATAAACCATCCGACTCTTGGTTTGGGCTCAGGTTGTGACCTCAGGGTCCTGAGATCAAGCCCTGCGGTGGGCTCCACGCTCAGTGGGGACTGCTTGAGAGTCTATCCCTCTACCCCTCTCTTGCCCTCCCTGCCACCTCTACACGCATTCTCTAAAATAGGTAAAAATTTTTAAAAAAATATTTGACCATAAAGTATGCCTTAATTTCAAAGATTAAAATTTTACAAGTTTGTTCTTTGTCATGGAATTAAAGTAGGTATCAGTTACAATATTTAAGATCTTCAAATGTTTAGCAATTAAACACTATACCTTCAAAAACCCAAGGATCAAAGAAAAAAAGAGGGTACCATAGAGAATGATACATACATAGAAATTTTAAACCTTTTAATCCTTATGTTACACAAAGTAAAACCCATGATCTGTTTCAATTTTAAAAAGCTAAAACTAGAAGAAAATTAAACCCATGTTGGAAGAAGAAATAAAGAAAGATCAAAACCAATAAAACAGAAAATAAGCTACAAAGAAAATAAATAAAACTAAGACTTGGCACCTTGACAGGATTAATAAAATTGATAAAATCCTAACAAGAAAAAGGAGAAAATATGACAAATCACAACGACAGTGGGAACGCACTGCAGATCCTAGACACTGAAAGGATAATAAAAAAATATGGATTTGATTATCAGAAAATTCAAGAAATTATTTGAAATGTGGGGGCGCCTGGGTGGCTCAGTTAAGTGTCCGCCTTTTGTTAAGTGTCGCCAGTGCCCTGGCACTGAGCCCCAAATCAAGTTCCCTGGCAGGCTCCCCCCGGATTGTGCTCTTACTCGCAAATAAATTTTTTTAAAATTTTATTTATTTATGATAGTCACAAAGAGAGAGAGAGAGAGAGGCAGAGATACAGGCAGAGGGAGAAGCAGGCTCCATGCACCGGGAGCCCGACGTGGGATTCGATCCTGGGTCTTCAGGATCGCGCCCTGGGCCAAAGGCAGGCGCCAAACCGCTGCGCCACCCAGGGATCCCTAAATAAGATCTTAAAAAAGAAAAATTAGAATACTCAGGATGCTATCTATGGTAATGGCATAAGAAAAATAAACTAATGGAACAAAACAGATACACATCTGTGGCCCATGGATGTGCCAACAAAGGCACCAACGTGACTGGAAAAGAAAGTCTTTTCGACAATGGTACTACAAGAACTAAGTATTGGTATGGACAGAAAGGAACTTCAAGGCCTACTTCACCTCACACACCAACATTATTTCACAATGAAAACTATGAAGTTTCCAGGAAAAGACACTGGAAACCATCTTTGTGCTCTTGAGGTACACAGGGCTCTCTCAGGAAGGACCCGGTAAGCACTGAATGTAAGCAAAAGACAACGCACTCCGGGAGAGAAGACGTACAGTACGTGCACTGACAACAGACCTGCCGCCAGAATACAAGGCCTCCTAAAATCAAAAACAGAAAAGACAACCCAATCTTGAAAAACATGCAAAAGACATTAACAATAATACCACAAAATTATACAAATGGCCAAAAAGCTCATGACAAGGTGACCGACCAACATTAGTTCTCAGGAAACCCAAGTTAAAGCCGTAATGAGCGCACTTCACACCGACTTGGGTGATTAAAATCAAGAAGCCTGACAACACTACGCACTGACACCGCAGCAGGGCGAGCGGGCCGGCGGAGTACAGGTCACGTTACTCCCTCTCCGTGACCCTCCCACACAGGCACGAGTGATCTGTAGTGGAAAGAAGTTACAGGTGGAGCTGCTACAGGTGGCTGATGAGGAGGTGACCCGAGGGAACTTCCTGGACAAACGTCCTCTCCCGGCGGTGGTGGTGGTACACAGGTCTGGACATGGATCAAACTGCATTTCTTTCCTGTAGATCCGTGGTTTCGTTATATATAAAAAGTTTTATTTCAATAAAAATAAGCAGCATCTCGTGACTCGCAGACGGAGCTCCTCACCCCAAGCACGCAGCACGTACTTCCGCTGAGGAGGAGACGGGGTTAGCGACCGGCACTGACCTTGCAAATCCCTGCGGCAGCTCCCCAAGGCCATACAGTGGGTAGAGGTACGGGCTTTTGCCATATCTTGCCAGAGACTCGCTGTAAAGTTTAATCCTATTAATGGTTTCACAACATGGCTGATCTAAATAGCTAGGATAAAGGAAATAAATATTAGAAAATCAATATTAAAAACGTTTTTCTCAATGATTTCATTTCACTACTTTCATATTTTACTTCAAAGGTTCTAACACTAATTTACAGCTGGAACTTTTCATAATATAACCTGGTTATTTACTTGTTTTGTTAGAATTTCCATTTTGGAGAATGGAGAAATTCAGTGACAATTCCAAGAAAAACACAAATCTAAAAGCCAAAACACTTACTCATCGGTCCTGTAAAGTGCCAGGGCATGGCCAGTAAAGTCTATGACATCTTGTCCCAAGTCAAATTTCTTGTACACCTCTCTCATGGCAGTCTTCTTAGGATCGATGCCCTCAAAAGTTCTGGGATCTTTTTCATCAAAGTTGGCGACATACACTAGGAATTTTCTGAAGCGACGTTTTTCAAACAGTCCCATTAAGCCTAAAGAATTTGTCAAAAAGCAAACATTCACACTAGAACACGAGGAAAAGAGAGTGTGAGAGGCAAGTTTAAATGTACCGTGGGATTACCCGAGGCTCTTCTAGACAGTATGGCTTCTACTTTTACTACGCTTCAAAAGAAACCAACAGAATTACAACAGATCAGCTATTAAGTCTTTAATTTTACAGTTACAATTATAATCAGCACTTAATTAAATGTAACACACTTAATTTTATCTCTTATTAAGGTGCAAGGTGAACATGACTATTACAAGGGCATCCACCTGAATGTTCTCGACAACTCTGATCTGTACTCAGCCAACTGTCTAAAATTCTGAAAGCTCCTCCTTTTTCTGTATTTGGACATTCATTCCGGCACCTCACAGAAAAGATGTTGGTTATGCTGCCGGGCACTTACTTCAGGGAGGTCCTAGGTAATCAGGTAACTGCTTTTTATACGAGAAAATAGAGAAGGAGACAGGTATAAACTACTTTACAAACCTGCAGCTCTCTTGTCAGTAGTCCTACCTGAGTTCACAGCCGCCAGGAAGACAAGGCCAAAGGAAAAAACCTGTTCTGGATTTATCTCCTTCCCCTTTCCTAAACTATATGACTACTGTAAAGACAACAAACTCTCAAGTAACAGTGAAATGTTTCGATATTCTGAACGTTATTTCCCCCAAGACTATAGATGAAACCAACAAAACTGAAATTAAAATGCTCATCAGGCCATTAACGACAGCCAACTACACTTATTAACATTTTTAAATTCTATTTACAACCTAGCTTTAAAAAAATGAGACGGGGGTACCCGCCTGGTTCAGTTGGTAGAGCATGGGACTCGATCTCAGGGTCATGAGTTCAAGACCCACATTGGGTATGGAGCCGACTTTAAAAGACTGAATGAAAATCAAATTGGATTTTAAATAATTTTTTAGGAATTAAAAAAAATAAAGTGGGACCGAGTGCATACACAGTAAGGGTAATAAGGGTAAAAAAAAAAAAATTTGATGACCACACAAGCACCGACTTATGTTGAGTTGTCAGGGATAAAAATAAGACAGCCAAAATAATACAGTACAACTCCAACTACTTCTCTGTGACGGTGTCTTCCCGGATCACCTTATTTAAAACTGTGTCCCCACATCCCTTCATCTGTCTGCACAGACTTATCACCATCTGATATCCTCTCCCTTATTTATTTATAACCTGAATCCTCTAATACAAGCTTCATAACAAAAAGCATTTTTTACTTTTCCCCTTCTGTTGAACCCTCCCTCCTCTAAACCTAGAAGGGTACACGGCACATAACACGTGCTCCATACTCCATTCACATAATTAATGTCTGATGCAAGGAAATACAAAAGTCTAATTATTCATAGATAGGATATACAACATAGAAAGAAAATGTTCAACTATATAAAAAAAAGGGTTATAAAAAAACCCTTTTCCAAATTACTCAGTTTCCTAAGTAGTATCTTAACATCATTTCAAATATTGTTTTACTTCTTTTCATTCACTTGCACAATAGGGTTTATTTACAAAAAAAAAAAAAAACTTAAGTCAAGGCCTTTAAAACATAAAAAGTTAACTAAATCCAGAGCAGTTTCATCAAGACAAAAAATAAAAGCTTTAAGTGGGTGTAAGACTGGACCACAGAGAACTGGAAGGATATTGTTACAATGTCCATACTTACCCACAGCAATCTACAGATTCGATGCAATCTCTATCAAAATTTCAACATTTTTTTGTACAGAACTACAAAAGAGGGACGCCTGGGTGGCTCAACAGCTGAGTGTCTGCCTTTAGCCCAGGGCATGATCCTGGGATCCTGGGATCAAGTTCTACATCGGGCTCCCCACAGGGAGCCTGCTTCTCCCTCTGCCTGTGTCTCTGCCTCTCTGTCTCTCATGAATAAATAAATAAAATCTTTAAAAATTAAAGTAACTTATTCTTATTCATCCTTCTGAACTTCTCCACCTTTCCATATCCCATTCATTCTGCCTAGGATCTTCTAGCCTCCCATTCTGACTTCCAGATCCTATTCACTAACAGGAAAACAGTCATCTGGTAAAAATTCATAAGACTATATACTAAAACAGGTAAATTATACTCTATGTAAAAATTATACCTTGATAAAACTAACCATAAAAATAGGCAAATAAACACACTTGCTTATTTTTGGAAAAAGAAACATAAGAGGATAAACCAGAAACAAAAACGATGAAGGGGAAGGATGGAAGACAACAGAATAAAGACAGACTCTAAATACATCTTCTGCTATAATGTTGGCTTTCAAGTCATCTAAAGGCTTTACATATTTGAAAAATTTAAATCAGAAAAATAAAACTGCTAGAAGGGAAGTCCTTCACTGTCTGTTAATGAAGGAGACTGAAGTTATTAACAAAGGTAAGACTCAAACGGAGAATAAAACTTTGGAAACACAAACTTTGTTGTAAGAGATTCTCCTCAAACTGTTTAACTTTTACTTCTATGAAAATACTTTATTTGGATAAATTTTACATTGTCATTTAAAATACTTTCTAATCCATGATGACACCACTAAGTCCCTCACTTTAAGTAGGGGCCATTTCTTCACCCACAGTTGTCAATCCTAACTTTGCCACAAACCTCCGTACTCATGTTTGACTTTCTGGCTATTGTGCCTTTCAATATTTTATGCCAGCACTTTCTCCTCTGAGAGCAAGAAGGAAGTAGATGGGGGATCCCTGGGTGGCGCAGCGGTTTGGCGCCTGCCTTTGGCCCAGGGCGCGATCCTGGAGACCCGGGATCGAATCCCACATCGGGCTCCCGGTGCATGGAGCCTGCTTCTCCATCTGCCTATGTCTCTGCCTCTCTCTCTTTCTCTCTCTGTGACTATCATAAATAAATAAAAATTAAAAAAAAAAAAAGAAGTAGATGGAATTGGAGAAGTGGCCAAAGTCATTCAAATTGGGTTTTTAGGTGAGAAAATTTTCCCACACTCACACCAAAATAATCACTGGAATTTACTGGCACTTCCCGTCTTCTCCCAATCCAAGTGGCTCCCTCCCCTGAGCTCCTCCAGTACTCACTGGAGAAAACTAATCCACCCACTGCTATATAAATTCATCCTTTCTCAAGCACCTTCAAGGACGTCTAATGAAAAGAGGCAGTAAGAGAAAAGGTAAACCAGATTAACCTTAGGTTGAGCCAAGAGGGGAAATAATTTTGGGCAAAGAATAAAGTCACTCCATACTCACTGGGAATTCCTAAAACCAGGGCTTCCAGAGAATGACAGCATCAATTAGAAGATTAGTTTTGCCAGAACAAAGTTCTTGCCTTTTGTAGCAGGTTGGATAATAAGGCGCAAGAGGTCAGCACAGGTAGTAAAGTACACGCGCTGGAGCAATACCACCAGTTTAAACCCTAATCTTGTCACTTCCCTGTCTGATTTTAGGCCTGAATCCCTCTCTATGAAATGGAAACCCTACCCCATAAAGGTGTTTCAAAAGTCAAAGAAGAAAATGAATGTGAAGTATTTAGCACAGAGCCTAGCACACAGGAAACACCCAAAACAACAGCTCTTATGAATTATTATGAAAGAGCACTGGCTGACCTAACAGCAGCACCAAGTTCCACGAGACAGAGACACTTAAACTCTCTCCGAGCTTCAGAAGAGAGGTGCTGAACATTCTCCTCACTGATGGTCTCTCAACTGCCCAGGACAGTGTCCGGCAAATAAAAGACATTCAATAAATACTGTTGCCTGGATGAGTGGACAGACGGCTGTCAGACAGGGGACATTCACTGTGACCCCTAGGATTCCTTTCCATTATAAAATCTCAATGTTCTGAGAAAATAAAATAAAATCACTTACTAGATGCCAGGGCTTCTGCTTCAGTGGAAGGAACCTTGTAGATTTTTCCTCCCTTGTAGACAAAGCTCCCTTCAGTCACTTTGAAATCCAGATAACGAGTGACCTCTGTATAAAGCAGCATCTTCACCAGCTGACCTAAAAAAGTCCCACAATTCAAACTACAATTTAAATCTTACCACCTTCAAAAGCCAGCAGAAAAAAAAATACACTTATTGTTGGCTAATACTAATGGCTTCCCAGTTTTTTCTAGCATTGTCCGATAACCTCTACCAAAAAGTCTCCAATGCCGTGTTCTAAATGGGACCATCAGAATGCACACCTCTTACTAAGCAGATTTACAAGTTTTTTTCCTATTATAAAACTTCAAGATTAATAACTTTATCAACTTGCTTTTGTAAAAGCTATACTAATAATGAGGGGTATGAGGTTTAGAGTTAGAGGACTATTGCAAATAGGTCTGAGTTTCCTTTAATAAAGTTCCTATTATAAAGAGATTCAAATGATAGGCAAAAATTTTCAAGAATTTGTGCTATTCAGTTTATATTGTTCAATCTGTATTAATTAAAATAGATATTAATTTAGTGGGCACCTGGATGGCTCAGTTGAGTATCCATCCAACTCTTTTTTTTCTTTTTTAAAGATTTTATTTATTTATTCATGAGAGACACAGACAGAGAGAGGCAGAGACAGGCAGAGGGAGAAGCAGGCTCCGTGCAGGGAGCCCGATGTGGGACTCGATCCCAGGTCTCCAGGATCACGCCCTGAGCTAAAGACAGATGCTCAACTGCTGAACCACCCTGGCGTCCCTCCATCTGACTCTTGATTTCAGCTCAGGTCATGATCTCAGTGTCATGAGATCAAGCCCTGCTCTGGGCTCCAGGGTGCATGCGGAGCCTGCTTGGGATTCTCTCTCCCTCTGCCCTCCTACCCCCCTAAAATAAATAAATAAATCTTTTAAAAATAATAAAAACATGAATATTAATTTCAGATAAAGAATATAACCAGGCATATAATTAAAAATATCACCTGTCCATAAACCAAAGAAATGTGGGATACCAAAAATAGCAAACTTTTTGAGAAATTATTTTAAAGCTCATTTGAAAGGATAAAAATTCTATATATATTTTTTTTTCAAAGATTTATTTATTTACTGAATGAGAATGTACACACAAGTGGGTGGAGGGAGCAGAGAAAGAGGGAGAAGTAGACTCCCTGTAAAACAGGGAGCCCAATTCAGGATTCGATTTCAGGACCCTGAGATCATGACCTGGCCTGAAATCACTTAACTGACTGAGCCACCCAGGAGTCCCTAAAAATAAATTTTTTTTTAAATGATGAGAGTTTTATGCAGCCAGGCGTTAGAATAAATTGCACAGTTATATTGATTAGTCCACTAATTAGTGGGGGAAAAAAGAGACCCATTTCTAAGAATATATTATAAAAGTTCATATCAAAGTGGAAAAGATACATGGTGTTGAGGGACAACAGATGAACCATTCTGAAAAAACAAATCTCAATCTCTACTTCTCAAATGGGTTAACAGAGAGGACACCTGGCTGGCTCCACCGAAAGAGCTTGTGACTCTCAATCTTGGGTCAGAAGTCTGAGCCCCATGTTGGGGTAGAGATTACTTAAAAAAAAAAAAAAAAAAAAAAAAAAACCAAACCAAAACACACACACACACACCCCCAAATGACTATAAAACCATTAATAGCAAATATTAGTATTTTTATAACCTTGAAGATAAAATTATAAGCATACCCTTCAAAATCAAAAACAAAAAATCACTCTATATTAACTTCATGAAAAGTAAAAGCTTATGTACAGAAGAAAAATACAGCACAGCTACATATAAAGCCAATCACAGACAGGAACATACCTTTAAATACACTATTTATTCCATAGCCGTTCTAAAGAGCTCTTTGACACATGGATAAGGAAAAATTTTAAAACCTCAAAAGAAAAATATACAAAGCCTAAGGCTGGCCAATTCACTAAAAAAATATGAAAGGCAATAAACATCTAGAAATCATTTCACACTCTAACAAATAGGTACTTTTAAAAAATTCATGGGGAGCCTGACTGACTCTGGATACAGCATGTAACTCTTGATCTTGGCATCATGGTTCAGGCCTCATGCTGGGCTTGGAGCCAACTTAAAATAAATAAATAACCCACTATTTTGCCTTTAGCTATAACAAAGTGACAAAAATTAAAATGACGGGGTGCCTGGGTGGCTCAGTAGGTTAAGCATCTGACTCTTGGTTTCGGTTCAGGTCATGATCTCAGAGTCCTGGGACAGAGCTCAAAACTGGCTTCGTGCTCAGCAGGGTCAGGGGGAGGGTCTGCTTCAGATTCTCTCTCCCTGTTCCTCTCCCTCTGCTCCTCTCTCCCAGCTTGCTTGTGAGCACTCTGTGTTTCTCTCTTAAATAAAAAAAAAAAAAAAAACAAAAAAAAAACAAAAAAAAAAACCCAAAAAACAAAGGTTAAAATGAAGAATATTCAGGCTTGGTGAAGGAACTGGGAATGAGGTACTCTCACAGGCCGGGGGTTAGAGACAGATGTGGCAATATAAAATAAAAGTTTTAAAAAATCATTGCATCTATCCCCATACTTTACATCTAGGAGTGTGTGGTGAGGTTCAACACACAGAGCCTGGCAGGTTATACACCAAAATATTAACCATGATTCTAGATGGTAAGACTCTGATTATGCACATTTTATTTCCTCTCTTGCTTATCTGTGTCTTCTAATTTTAATGAAATAATTTTATTATTTATATAAAGGGTGCTTACAATTTATTTCAAAAGAATTTTAGGTAGGTACCTTTTTATTTCAGAGACAATTCAAATAAGATCTTTCCACTAGGGATGCCTGGGTGGCTCCGCGGTTGAGCGTCTGTCTGCCTTTGACTCAGGGCATGATCCCGGAGTCCTGGGATCGAGTCCCACATTGGCCTCCTTGCAGGGAGCCTGCTTCTCTCTGCCTGTGTCTCTGCCTCTCTCTCTTTCTCTCATGAATAAATAAAATCTTTAAAATATATATATATCTTTCCACTAAAAAAAATATAAAATATCAACTCATAAAACAAAATACACACACAAAACAAAACCTAAAAACAGGGAAGGGCAGCTCATACTTTAATTCATGGTACATAAATAGACTTCATACCAACAACCTGATTTTTTTAATATCATTTCAGAAAAAGGTACTAATACCACAGCAATTAGCTCCCCTAATTAAAAACATGAGAAAAATGTGAAAAAATAATCTTGAAAGCCTCCAAAGTAGGAGAAAACCTTCTTCTAAAGGCCCAGTTATCTGAGACTGTTGGGAAAGCCCCGAGGAGTGCTGCAGACGCTTACGGCTTTCCTACATACTGTGCTGTGTCCTAAAAGGGGTCTCCAGAATCGACCAGGTAGGAGTCACCCCATCCTCCATTCATACGGACTCCAGATGCCTCCACGGGCCCACACGCTACTCACCACAAACCGCTGCCATCAACAAGAGCTACTTTTACATACCTAGCATAACACTCTGTCAAGAGCTAGGTTCTACCTTTAAGCCAGATTCAATGCACCCCCATAAATGCCAGAATGCTTTACCATTGGCCATGAGGAACTTAGGGATCAGGTCCACGTTCCAGTCTCTCCCTCTTCCCATCGAGGCTGGTGGTGCTCCTGGTATCTTAAATCTTTTGTATAACTAAAACCAAAACAAAAATTACCCACAATGTAACAAATTTTACTTTTCATTATGCTACGCAGCAACCATTCCATGATGTGGTTTTGGTATAGTAGCTGACCACCAGTAGATTTTATCAGATAAAATTTTTAGAGAAATTCCAATACATATCTAAGTTAAATAATACATTACTAAACTAATGAATGCTAAAATAAATATTACAGAGGTAGTATTTTCTTTACTAACAGAAAAGAATACAAAACAATTTTCAATGACACGCTAGCTCTGCAGATACACCCTGCATATGTAGAAATCATTTAAACTCATTCTCTTCTGAATAAAAAGTTAACAAAAGGCTTAGTTTTGCTTCCATAGTTATGTAAGGAGTTAAAAATAAATTCTGGATTCTTCACATCAAAAAAGACAAAGTTAGTTCCAGCTAATTTTTAACTTCTGTCAGTTGAGTAAGAGCTCTAGATAAAAAGAAGCTTGTCGTCTAAAATTTGGAAATACTCATTTGAACTCCTAAATTTTATTGCTAATGTGGAAGTGAATAAGCAAAGCTGGCATATTTACTCCTAAAAAACCCAACCCCTTGAGTATATTCATTGTGGAAACAAACGAACAAAAAAAGTCAGCTTACTCACCTCACTGAAGATTAGTAAATGTACTATGTAGAAGGAATGGTGCCAACATACCACTCTCTATAAGATTAACAATGAAGAGATCTGGTGGTCATCACCTTTACTAGGGTCAAAGTTGGCATCATGACCAGTGGAGGAGTCTAGACATTATATCCCTCCTGATATGATGCAATATTAAGTACACAACGTTTTCTTATTAAAAAGTAGTTTGGAGGGACGCCTGGGTGGCTCAGTGATTGAGCGTCTGCCTCTTACTCAGGCATGATCCCAGAGTCCAGGATCGAATCCCGCATCAGGCTCCTGCAGGAAGCCTGGTCTCCCTCTGTCTGTGTCTCTGCCTCTCTCTTTGTGTCTCTTATGAATAAATAAATAAAATCTTAAAAACAAACAAAAAACTAGCTTGGACTTTTCAAAAGATAGAAGTGAGGAGATTTCTATAGATTAAGAGAATACAGAGAACACCAAAGGCAATGTGTAAAGCGGTTTATAAAGAAAAAAAAGAAACACTGCCACCACACACACAAGAGAAGACATTCTTGGCATCAATGGGAAATTGGACTATGGTCTGGATATTACTGTTAATTTTCTTAAATGTGATAACAAATGATATTATGACCACATAGAATGTTATTCTTAACCAGTGAATGCTAAAATATTTAGGTCAAGTATCATGATGTCTATTACTTTCAAGGATTCAAACCAGTAACAAAAGACATAAAGCAAATACTGCAAAATGTTAACTGTTAAGTCCAGATGGAAGGTTGATCATTGGTATTCTTTCAACTTTTCTGTAGGCCTGCATACAGAAAAATTTTTTGATAAAAATATGATATCTATGTTATCAGTCATTATGGACAGTAATTGATGATATCTATGTATCCCCTATAAAACACAGTACAGCTGGTATCCATGCATATGGATGCTGAACAAACTTCACAGAGAAACATTTAGCAAAACACACTCTGGAAATGCTTTGTGTGCCTACATTCTAAAAAAGTAGGAAGCAGGGGAGAGAGCAGAGCAAAATGAACTAAAGCTGTGGAGTGTGACAACCAAGGCTCACAATGCTGCTCTGTGATTTCAACAACATAGGTTATTTTGTCATCTGAAAAACGGGATAGAAATACCTCTTTGAGTAACTGGGAGACTACCAGAACCAGGTGGAAAGCACTGGTGCTGTGCTTGCCAATTAGTAGATCTCCATCAAGTCTACGCCTTTAACTTCAAGAGATAACAGATAACTGCTCCAGATGGCAGTAAAGGTCACAACTTAAATGTCTATAAGCCCTAAACTAGCTGTCCCTGAAAAATAGGATGCTATAGATAATCTAATAAAACAAAATTAACCTCTCTATACAGAGTGAAGTTGAGATTCACAAGTAAAAGTTTCAAAGAATGAAAACCACACTAATTCATTCTAATACTTACATCTTCCAGAGGTGTTATAGATGCACTTTCTCCTCCATAATATGGGTTTCTATCCATGTGAAGAACTTTCTTCCCATTCACCGACATTATACCTGACAGGATACATTCCTAACAAGGAAAGCAAAATTACTACATGTTTCAAACAGATTTCTTTTCCCCCAGATATATCTTTTTAAAGCCCCTCATTAGGGGTGCACCTGGGCAGTTCAGTCATTTGGGCATCTAACTCTTGATCTGGGCTCGGGTCCTGATCTCAGGGTCCAGGGGTTGAGCCTGTCACACTCGGTGCTCAGCTGGGAGTCTGTTTTTCTCTCTCCCTCTGCCCTCACCCCGCCCCCCCCCCCATCATGCGCACACTATCTCCCTCTAAAATAAATCATTCTTTGACAAAATAAAAGCCCCTCATTAAACACTCTCATAGTAACTAATACTTACTATGTACAATATATCATGTAACTTAAGGACAAAGCCATGGGCCTCAAGATGAAGACTATTTCATAACACTAGGACACTATTCACTATTTTTTCCACTGTGCTGACATTAGCACTGATGCTGCAAGGCCAACGGTAGAGAAAATGAATCAGGGCAGTAGCTCCACATTGTATTAGTCATTATACTCTCCACCACCAAGTGCTCACAGTTTAAAAAAAAAAAAAAACAAGGCTAGTTTCACTTAAGAATGTCCTTGATGGGGGATCCCTGGGTGGTGCAGTGGTTTGGCGCCTGCCTTTGGCCCAGGGCGCGATCCTGGAGACCCGGGATCAAATCCCACGTCGGGCTCCCGGTGCATGGAGCCTGCTTAACCCTCTGCCTGTGTCTCTGCCTCTCTCTCTCTCTCTCTGTGTGTGTGTGACTATCATAAAAAAAAAAAAAAAGAATGTCCTTGATGAAGCATTAAAAGTTACCTTTGTTAAATGTACACCCTTGAATGCCTACCTTTTTAATATTCTGTGTAACCAAACGGAAGTTCATATAAAGTAAATCTGGCTCACGGAAACACTTTTGTGCAACTGATTTGTAAGCTGAACTAGCTACTTTTTTTCATGGATCATTTTTATTTGAAAGAACCAATTTATTCAGAGTTAGGTATTTGGCAGATGTGGTTTCAGATTTCATAGAATTACTCTTTAAAAAAAAAAAAAACCTGCAGGAGCACCTGGTGGCTCAGAGGTTGAGCATCTGCCTTTGGCTCAGGGCATGATCACAGGGTCCTGGGATGGAGTCCAGCATCCCCACAGGGAGCCTGCTTCTCCCTCTGCCTGTCTCTGCCTCTCTCTCTGTGTTTCTCATGAATAAATAAATAAAATCTTAAAAATCAAAAAAAAATTAAAAACCTGCCACTAATGTTTTGATATTTATCCAAAACTATCCACTACAATGTGAAAGACTATTAAAATACTCCCTATTCCGGGGATCCCTGGGTGGCTCAGCGGTTTAGCGCCTGCCTTTGGCCCAGGGCGCGATCCTGGAGTCCCGGGATCGAGTCCCACGTCGGGCCCCCAGCATGGAGCCTGCTTCTCCCTCCTCCTGTGTCTCTGCCTCTCTCTCTAAATCTCTCTCTCATAAATAAATAAATAAATAAATCTTTTAAAAAAATACTCCCTATTCCAACTACACATCTGTATGAGGCCTGATTTTCTTCTTATACTTCAGCTAGAAAAATAGCTCACAAAAGTCTGAACAACAAAGCAGATGAAAATCCAGCTATCTTTCAAGACAGACATTAAGGAGACCTGCAAGAAATGTAAATCAGAGTCGCCTGGTGGCTCAGTGGGTTAAACATTGGCCCAGGTCAAGATCAGGGTCCTGGGATGAAGCCCCACATCCAGGAGTCTGCATCCTCCTCTCCCTCCCTCTGCCGCTCCCCCTGCTCAAGCTGTCAAATAAACCAACAAAATCTTTAAAAAAAACCAAAAGACTCTCTCCTCTCTCTGACCCCTCCCCCCAACTAGCACTTGCCCATGCTCTCTCTAAAATAAATAAAATCTTTAAAAATAAATAATTTTTTAAAAATGTAAAATAATGATACTCTTCTCACAATTTTTTTGTTTTGGAAGATATAGTTACACTTCATAAAACTTACTCATGTTAACATGTAACGGGCTTGTCATTAAGTGAATTAATAAAAATTTTTAAAATTTTTCAGTGTTAATTTCTAAAGATAAATATTAATAGACATAACCCTTATAACCAAAACTCTCAGAGTTCTTAATTTTTAAGAGTGTAAACAGATCCCAAAGCCAAAGAGTTTGAGAACTAGAGCTCTAAAGGAAGCATCCAAGATAACCATAAATAAACTGGCAATAAATAGAAGATTATAAATGTCCACTCTCAGGAAAAAGGTAAATAAAGCATGAGTATTCTAAGATATATATCAAGATGGAGGGGGAAAAATAAGAATTCATTCAAGAAAGAATAGGATGAATTAATGAGAAGAAACAAAAGGGATACACATTCAGTCAAAACTCTTAACACCAGGGTTTTGGTGATCAGGGCTTTATTTTTTAAAAAGAAAAGGAAATCCCTTCTATCCTCATAAATCATTAGGGCTTTTCAAATTTACTCCAAAGACCCTAGATGGCAGAGAACAATGTCATTCCCCTGGAAGTCGGACTTTGATATCTTTATTTTAATAAGTATTTCAAATTTTACTCCATAATATATCTACCCATTTTAGTATTTTTAAAGTTTTAATTATTATTAGGTTCAAATTTTACTCTAGGAAGATGCACCATTGCTTATTTAGATCAAGAAACAAAACACTGAGTGCTCTATCTAGAAGGCCAGTTAGGCCCTATTCCAGTCCTAACCACAACTTCACACCCACCCCCTCTCGTGATTTCTAAGAGTGAAGATTTGCTCATTTTTTAAACTCTGAATAAATGGAATCATGCAGCATATCCTTTTTGTATACACCTTATATTCAACATTATGTCTCCAAGATTTATCCAAATTACGTTTTATGTGTTCTGGTAGTGTACTTCTTCTCATTGCCACGGAGTACAGGTCCCCAAAGTACAAGAGCCAGGTGCAGCCTGCATACGATTTTCATAAATAAGGATTTACTGGTAAACACCCATTACCATCCATTTATATATTGTCTACATCTGTTTCCACTGTACCACAGTAGAAGTGTAGTTGTGACAGAGGCTGTATAACCTGCAAAACCTAAAATATTTACTATCTGCACCTTTACAGAAGGTCTGCCAAATCCTGCAAGCAGTGGATGGATCTCGAAGCTTCCCAATTTAATATCACCTCTGAATGTGTCTAAAATGTTAATTCTAAGCAGGTTCTCAAACTTCATTTTGTATCCACATCACCTGGAGGGCTCATTAAAACAGACTGTGGGATTCCCACTCACAGAACTGGGTTGGGGCTAAGAATCTGCCTTTCTCAGGAGTGATGTTAAGGAGGCTGGTTCAGGACCAATTTTGAGAACCATTACTAAAAGCAGTGCTGCTCCACTTTAACAAGCATAAGAATCAATCACTGATGAATCAATGATCAATCACGATCAGAGGGATCATGCTAGGGGTGCCTGGCTGGCTCAGTCAGTAGAGCATGGGACTTGATCACCGGATCACAGGAGTTCAAGCCCCACATTGGGCTTAAAGCCTACTTAAAACAAAAACCTGGAGATCATGCTAAGCTGAAGTTTTTGATTCAGTACACTCAGCATGAGGTCTAACCTGCAGTTGATCAGACCACAGTTTAGGTGACAAAGCTGTAGAGGCTTTAGTTGAATGAATCACATGAATATACATTTTTAAAAATCCATTCTACTATTAATGGAAATCTGGATAGTTTACAGTTTTTGACTCTCATAAATAATGCTCTATATTCTAACATGTTTTTATTATGCATTTACTGGATATATATCAAGGAGAACACAACTATGTCCAACTTCATCAGATACTCCCAAACAGCTTTCCAAAGTGGTTATACTAATTTATACTTTTGTCATAGCAGTGCATGAAAGTTCCTGTTGTTTCAAATCCTTGCCCCACACTTGTGTCTTTTTAATTTTAGTCATTCTATACTTAGGATGTGGTTTAATTTGCATTTCCTGACAAATAGTGAGGTTGAACACTTTTTTAGTTTTTTTTATACTTTACTGATAATGACTATCTTCTTTTGATCAGTGCCTATTCAAATTATTTACTTTTTAAAAAATGTGTTTCTGTCTTTATCTTACTGCTATATAAAAGTTCTTCTTAAGGGTGCCTGGGTGGATCAGATGGTTGAGCATCTACCTTCAGCTTAGGTCATGATCCAGGGGTCCTAGGATGGAGTCCCACATCAGGCTCCCCATTCACCAGGGGAGTCTGCTTCTCCCTTTGACCTTCCTATCTTGCGCTCTCTTTCTCTCAAATAAATAAATAAAATCTTTAAAAAAAATAGTTCTTTTTCTATTCTGGATATATAAAAGTGCCTTATTGGTTATACATACTGCAAACCTCTTCCATTCTGTGGCTTGCCTTTTCACTTTCTTAACGATGTCCTGATAAAGAGAACTGAAGGCAATTTACAACTACAAAAATCAACCCTAATCAAAAGCAATTCACTTGTTCAAAATAAAATGCAAAGGAGCACTAACATATGTGGTTCAACATATTACACGAAAATACAATAAAATTTACTTTCACACAGATTATGACATAAACAGAAAACGATGAAACAGTCTTATTTCCAGCAGACTTCAGAGTTCAACTTTTGAAAGCAAAATCTTAGCAAGCAACTCTGAGTATTGCATAGCTTCTATATATAACTTTGCACACTCCCCTGCAAATAAGCATGATCCACTCACTGGACCATGGCTCTAGGGCAAGCACTAAAGGTGCAGGCCTAAGATAAAGGACTCAATAGTTTAAAGATTCACTAAAGTCCAAAGTGTTAACAACTACCTTTAGAGGCGTCACTTTGAACAAATATGACAAAAGCTAATTACACATCTTTAGAGGCGTCACTTTGAACAAATATGACAAAAGCTAATTACACATCTGCTTACACAGATTCTCCTAAGCCCATCTATAAAAGATTGCTTATACCACCCAAAAGAATAAATACATAGTAGCATTAAGTGTAATACTTTAAATTTTACTTT